GAACCCTCAAAGGCAAGCCTGATACATTTTTCACTCATGAAAGAAACATCCAGAGGGTGGGGGGGGTGAGCACCGAGAGCTTCTGATCAGCATCTTCAAAGCCCCGGGCGGCGGCTGGAGTTTGCACTGGGGTGGAGAGCCCACCTTTCTGCTTATTTCCCAGCTCTTGGCCTGTTGAGTTCTGTGTCTGGTGTCCAACAAGGGGCCTGGCCGCGGCTCCTTTTTCCTGGGCTATGTACTTTCAACCAGTTTTGAGCAGCCCCATTTCAGATTGGCCTTTTTATGTTTGATATAAAGAATAGTTGTTGGCCAATTTCATCTTTTCATCGCTGTTCTCTAGGCCTGAATCCAAGCAGTTTGTCAGATGCTCATTAACTCCCCCTTTGGCTCTTTCTAGTGTGTCTCCTAAGCTCATTGTGCCAAGAACTAACGCTTTCTTTTACACGATTCTCTTTCTCTGCTCCATCAGGGAGACAAATTACTTTCCAAAAGGGATCGCCAGGGATGGTTTAATGAGAATTTCTTTGGGGCTAGGCATGGAACGCAATGTAGTTAACATTCGGTGGACTTAATTGGACTTTTCTTTTCTGCCTCTTTTAAAAAAAATCTGAAGCTATCCTGTTAATCTCTCATTTGTAATCAATTGTGTTGACTAAACAAAAGTCTAGGTCGTCTTTTCTTCCTGTCCCAGACAATCCTTTGTTGCCTCTAAATGCCTCATTCTTGAGTGATCCTGGTCGTAGATGGGCCCGATTGTTGACAGTTCATTATTGCGCTTTTGTCCATTTAATCTTTCTTGCTGTGTTTTGCATGTGCATGCCTTAATGAGCTCCGTTGGCAATTAACATGTTTCTAGGAGCAAACTGGTTGCTCAGACGTTTGAGAGGGAAGTGCAGGGAAAAGGGCAACGCAGCTGCCTTGAGGTTGTTTATTTCCCAGCGTTTTCTCAAGACTCCGGTCCTCTCTTTAGCAGCCCCCCCACCCTGACTCTCGTTTCCCCCCCCCGCCCTCCCCCCTGGCCCATTCACCGCCAGCACACCTGGATGCCTCAATCCTGTCGCTCTCGCACCGGGCTCCGGCAGCCTCCCATCCTCCTGTGAGCCAAAGAGCAAAACGGGGACCACAGAGATCCACTTCTGCAGCCAAGGCAAGAACGAGCACAGTACCCCCCAAAATGTGTCTGGATGCTGGCAACTTCTCTGTGTCGCTCTTTGCAGAGAGGAACCTCTAACCCGCCTAAGGCAATAGGACTGTACAATCTGTTATGTACAAGGCTGTGGCTTTGGAAGAAGGAGGGTTTTTTTTTTTTTTTTTTTTGAGTCTTGCTGGCAAGATTGCTGAAGTGTGAGCAGTCATGGACAGAACAAACATCTTGAAGGGGAAAAGATAATTGGAGTCTTTTTTGTGTCTGTGACAGGATTCCCCTCCCCCGCAATTTGATTTTTTTAAAATATTTTTTAAGGGCGGCCTCTTCAATTTAATCAAGGTTAGAATATTAATATGCAGTTGATGGCTACCTTGTTTAAGTCATTTACTAATATTGAAAACTACGAGTCATGCAAACAGTTTAATACGAAGAGGGGAAAAAATCAGAAAACAGAGCCGTTCACCCATCAATTCCGATGCATGGTCAATAGCTCAGAGGGATCCCAGTTGGGATGGTGCCTGAAAGTTCATGTTGGCTTCAGAACCTTCACTGGCTGTGAAAGGTGTTTCATCACTCACGCAGAAGGTTCCTTTTTCACTTTGTACTCCTTTTCAGGTGAAGGAATCCTTTCTTGAATCCCACACCTGAAGGAAGCAGACATCCTAAACCCGGGAGCAGTGACTTCAAACCTGCGGAAAGAGGGGCTGTGCCCTACAGATAGAGAACTCTCTGTTTACCTGCAATTACCGCCAGATGTGAAATAACACCTTCTCAGGTGAGAGCGATTGACAGGTGCTGGTGTGAAGGTTAAGTAAGAATCAGGTTAGGAGGAAACAACCTCAAGGAGGCTGGATCGCGCCAGACACTCTGCTCAGGGGTACCCCAGAGTCACGGTTACCCACTTTGACCCTGCCTGCAGAGACGAGCAGTCCAGGAGAGAAACGCTTCCTGCTCTCCCACTTCTTTGATTTCATTTGCTGTCTTGTTTGCAAGCACACCATCTTCAGAACGGCCACCCGGAAACCAAGTTCTCCAGTCTTAGGAGATGGGCTCCCCTTTTAGTCATTCTCCTGTGAAAACTTATTACAGAAGAATTTCTCGAAGTTCTTTCACTTGGAGGTTAGGAAGTTCTTTTTCTGGGTGAGGCTGTTCTCCCTTTTTTATTATTAATTATTTTTCTTTTCTCCTTAAAGGGAAAGAAGAAGACTTGATCACGATTTCCACATTCAGGCCAACTTTTTTTTTTTTTTTTTTTTTTTTTTACAAATAGTTTATTGTCAAATTAGTTTCCACATAACACTCAGTGCTCATCCCCAAAGTGCCCTCCTCCATGCCCATCCCCCCTCCCCCCCACATCCATCAGTCCTCAGTTTTTGTCAGCATTCAGGAGTCTCTCATGGTTTGCCTCTCTCCTTTTCCCCCACCATTTCCGCCCTTCTTCTCCCCCTTGTTCCTCCGTCAAGTTCCTCCTAATCCTATACGTCCAAACATATGATATTTGTCCTTCTCTGGCAGGCCAACTTTTTAACCCAATTCTCTAAGTGGATGCTTTGCACTAGGTTTTATGGGGTCAGCCCCTTGCCCCAAGTTCTGAAACTGCTTCCAAAGAAGGTGGGCTTGCCCTGACCATTATCTAGTCTCCAAGAAATGAATCTGCAAAGGACCCTTCCAGGAATGCAAGAAGGAAAGGATTTTGGTTAAGAGGACTGTCATAGGGTGCCCGGGATCTCCAAGAAATGGAGAAAGGGGTGTGTGTGTGTGTGTGTGTGTGTGTAAAGGGACTAATAAACCGGTATGAGTACCCTGGGGGAAAGCTGACTCCTCCAACCAGCTCGCAATACCCCTGGGGATAGATGTGTGGGAAAAGCAAGGCGATATTTCCATATCCTTGGCCGCCAAGTCCTCCTCGCCCATCCTGGGGTTTCCTGGGGTTTGTGGCATCCATGGAGATTTCGGAGTTAAATCTGCATATCCCTCTGGGTCCCAATCTCCCCTCAGCGAACTGCAGCCAGAACGAGCTAACATTTAAATTCCTCCTCGTTTCCTCGTTCCCCCTCCCCTGACTGCGTCTTCCCAGACTTGGGGGGGGGGGGATTACAAAAACGAGGACGCTCTCCTTTCAGGAAATGGAATTCTAATGTACACGTTCCTATTTCTGAATCGGAGGTACTAAAAATACTCCCGCGACAGCCTGAGGAAGCTGTCGCCGTCCTCTGTGCAAACAAAATCGACAATTCTCCTTCCCTGCGCAATGGGTCTGCGAATTGGGCGGGGGCCGGAACCCAACCTTTGGCTGTGACCGGGACGGGGCTGCACGCAGCAGCCAAGCGCCTCCGCGCGGGGCCCAGCCTGGAGGCTCTTCCCCCACCCACGAGGACTGAAGGCAGCTTGGGTTCCCTGGAAGCATCCCAGAGTTCGAATCCCAGCCCTACCTAGTCCTGTGACCCGAGGCATGTGGTTTGGCTTATCTCTCTGCCCCAACGTCTCTGTCCGTCCGCACATCGTCCCCGGCTTGAGGGGTGTCGCGAACGCTCGAAAGCACTTGTGCCTGGAATGGAGCAAGCGTTCGGGAAATGTGAGCTGTTTTTGATCGCGGCAGCCCCTGGCGCCGGCAGCACTGAGCTCCTACTGTATACCGGGTGTTGGGATAAGTCGCACTGCAGTCACTTTCAGAGTTACGAGGGGGTTTCCTTTTGCATTAACTATCTTTCCCTCCAAATAACCTCCACTCGCAGTGGAAATCCGCGTGGGACCAGCGCCCAGCTGCCGCCGCCCCTACCCCTTGCAATGGCGAGGCTGCGTGGAAGCGCGCTCCCCGGCCCCGCGCCGCACTGCCTCCCCACGCTGGGGAATATTGTTCCAGAAGACGTGGGCTGCATCTCGGCGCGAATATTAAGAGTGTGTGTGCGGAGTGGGGGGAGGTCCGGCGCGCCGAGCCAGTAATCTGAGCTCTTGATTATCCAGATTCGGATCAAACGGGGCGGCGGCGGCCGACCCCCTCCTGGGAATGATTAGATGATTAATGTAATGCTGTTTGAAGGGTCTCTGTTTTCTCTCTTAATTTGGGTCATTACTTAGGAAGCAAGCGTGAGATCATTTCATCAGCGCGCTCGGCGGCGGAGATAGCTATTCAGAAAACGGGCTAACTGCGCGGTGATCGGGGCGCGGGAGGCGGCGGCCGCGAGCTCCGGGGGTCCGGGTGCGCCCTCCCGCGGCAGGGCGCGCCGCACCCGGAGGCTGGACCCGGACCCACAGCCCCGGCCGGGGAGCGCTCGGGCTGGGCTGGGCACCCTCGGCCTCCCGCTCGTGTCTCCAGGAAAAAAACTGGCAGGAAGACTCCCCCCCCCCGCCCGTCAGGTCTCCCAAAAAAGGGGACATGCTCCGACGCTCCCCAGCGGGGCGGTGCCCTGGCCGTTTACCTTCGCGGGCAAGGCAATTTGCTGAAAGATGCACCCAAACCAGCTCCCCAAACACCCAGCGACTTTTAACCCCTCCTCCTCCTGCCCCCCTTTTTTTAAAAAAAAATTTCTCACCCAAGTAAGGCAACACCCAGAATCCCAAGCGTCGTTAGAGTCACCAAATAAAAACTTGGCACCACGTGCAGGCCGACGTAGACCTTTGCTCCCTGGATCCCGATGGGGGGGCCGGGGAAGCGCGGGGGGGGGGTCTTAACAAGCAAGTACCGCAGGAACACCGGTTTGGCCTCACACTGGTCCCAGCGCCCCAAAGGAAGAAGCATTTGGGCAGGGAAATGCTATAAACGCCTATTTCCTTCTCATTCTTTTGGGTTGCTGAGCTGACCTAGCGGCGAGGGGAATGGGGGAAAGAAAACGCGCACTAGTGATTCTGTTTATTGAGTTAGATACGTATATATTCCGAGTTCGCTCTTACAGGAGGATTTACATGGCTGTATAAAGACGGCTGGGGGCGCCGCGCTCTTCCGGGGCGCTCACGTGACAGGCTGGGGTGAACACCCGCGGCCGGAGGAGAAGCGGAGGCCTGGAAGGAAATACGTTTCAGCGCATTGGGTTTAAATAAGTTTCCCGAATACACAAAGGTGGGAGCCACGCGTTTGCTGCCAGTCATCGAGGAAACGTTTAGCTTTCCAAAAAATATGCTGGTTTCGATAAATAGATTTTAGCCTCTCTGCTATAGTTTTTATTTTCTTTTAATTTTAGAAATAAGTTTATACGTGTGATCTGTTTGGGGGGGGGGCTGGACGGGGCTGGACGGGAGGGCGAGGCAGTAGCTCTCAGCTCTGCACTGTCCGAGTCAGGTCCTTTGTGGAGGGGGCGGCAGGCCCCACGCTATCGTGGAGTTTGCGCACGTGTTTCTTTAAGTCAAAGTTTCTGCAAAACCCTTTGCCGCAAGTGGCGCACGTGAAAGGCTTCTTGTCGTTGTGGGTGTGCATGTGGAAGGTCAGGTTGTAGACCTGGTGGAAGGCCTTGTTGCAGATGGTGCATTTGTACTGCTTCTCGCCGCTGTGGGTCAGCTTGTGATTCTTGTAGTTCCCTACGGGAGACCAAAAACAAAAAAAGGAGGGGGGGTGGGGATGTAGTGGGATGCAGGGGGAGGGGGGTGCCGGGCGTCCCGGGGGTTGGCTCAGGTGCCCGCGCAAAGAAGGCGACGCTTGGCTAGGCGGGCGCGACCTCTCCGAGTGAAGAAGTTGTCAAACTTCGTCTGCGTCAAGCCGGAGGCTCTCCGCCACAGGATGCAGGGCCGAGGCCCGCGCAGCCGCCCCGCGCCCCTGCCCCGCCCGGCGCACGGGCCCGCGCAGCGTCCCTCCCGCTGTGCTCCGCGCGCCCGGAAACTTTCGCGCAGCCCAGAGCGCATCGGGTCCTTCTCCTGGCTGCCGCCTCGCTGGAAGCAATTCGCACGAACCCGGGCTTCGGCCCTCATTTCTGTTTCTCTTCTCCGTTTAAAAGTTACTCCCTCTGCCCCCCCTCCCCCCCAAGCTACCACCCGGAGATCCAGAAGTGCCTTGAAAAACCCAAGCGGGGCGCCGGGCCTGGAGGTGCTGGGGACGGGAATGGTTTCTCCCGGTCTCGTTATTCCCAGGAGGTGGAGTTTGCCTCGAATTTTTTTTTTTTTTTTTCATTTGAAAGGGGTGTCCCGGCTACAAAGGCAAGCTTTTTCTATGGAGCGGTAGCCTTTCTTTAGCCTCCTTCCTTTCCCTCTGCCCCTTCCCTCCTCCCCACCTCCCGAATTCGGAGCCTCCCCGTGCAACCGGCCTGAATCCAGCGAGGTCTACTAACCCGGCCCGGAGAGCTTCCACCCAAACCGGGCACAACCCGATTCCAAAGAAATGCTGCGCCTGCGCTTGCAGCTCTCACGCTCCCTCTCTCCGGATCCTTCTTTGCCTTCCCGCTAGCGGTGACCCGCCGAGTCAGGAGGTGAGGTGAGGAGAGGGCCTCGCCCCGCACATTACCTTTTTGGTGAAAGCCTTTGCCGCAAAACTCGCAGACGAAGGGCTTGTAGCCCGCGTGGATGCGGATGTGCGTGTTGAGCGTGGAACTGCGGTTGAAGGCTTTGCCGCACTGGTTGCATTTATGCGGCTTTTCCTGCGGAAAGGGGCGCGCGCACAATGAGGCCAAGGCCCCGGCCAGGGGAGGCCACCTGGGGGGAGGCACCTTGAGGGGACACGGGCTCCCCGGGCGGGGGAAGGGGATCCCTTGCCATCCTCTCCCCAACACCGTAGCTCAGGCACGGCGTGTTGTGCACGGGCCGAGCTCGACCCGGGGGCCACGTACCTGGGTGTGGATAATTTTGTGTCTGCAGAGCGTGCTGGCCTGGCGGAAGCCTTTGCCGCAGACTTTGCACACGAACGGTCTGGCTCCGGTGTGGACCGGCATGTGGCGGGTGAGGTTATAGTGAGCATTAAACACCTACGGAAGGACACGAGGGGCCTTGTGGTGTGTCCGTCCGAGAGGGTCTAGAATCAGACTGGGGAGGCCAGAACCTACATCCCCCCAACCAACACTCCCTTCAGAAACCAACCAGAGCCCTGTTCATTTTGCCAAGCGCTTCCCAACCCACTGCTCACGCATCTCGCGTGGCCGCTGACGACGACATCCCCATTTTAGAGAATGGGAAACTGAGGCCCAACTGGGCCCTCAACGTGAGGCGTAGATAGCTACCGGGGAGCTTCTAAACTTGAGAAAGGGGCGGTCCAGGCTGCCTCAGGCAAGCAGCCGTCCCCGCTCATCCCTCCCAGCCCCCGCGGACCCGGGGCCTCACCTTGCCGCACACCTCGCAGGTGAAGTTTTTGGGCTTGCCGTCCGCAGAGCCCCCGGGCAGCTTGCCGTGGCCCTTGACGCCGCCGCGCTCGGCGGTCAGGGCCGAGTTCTCCTTCAGCACTTGCTCCAGAGGCGCGGGCAAGCGCTCCTTATGGGCATAGGGGGCCGGGTGGGGGAACTTGTCCGCGGCCAGGCCGGCCAACTTGGCGTTCTCCAGCAAAAAGAGTTTGGGGTGCGCAGCCAGGGCGGCGGGGGCCTGTGCATTGAGGAGGCCGGACGGGAAGAGGTGGCCTCCGAGGAGCTCAGACGGCGGGTACGCGGCAGAGTCCAGGTAGTTGAAGTAGTAGAGCGAGCCGCTGGCCGGCAGCCCCACCGCCTGGTTGATGACCTGCGGCTTGATGACCCTGCCCGCCGGCAGCGCAGACGGCGCCAGGCCCAGATCGGCCTTGCAGCACACGCCACAGTTGGTTTTGCACAAGCCGCTGGCGCCGCACACCGGGGCCCCCCCGCCACCGCCGCCGCCGCCGCCGCCTCCTCCTCCTCCTCCTCCACCGCCGCCCGCCCGGAGGCTGCTTTTCCAGAGCTCGGAGTAACTGAGCAGCGTCTTGGACGGCACCTCGTAGCCTAGGGGCTGGAGGGGGATCATACAGGGCAGCGGCGAGCAAAGGTTGAGCAATTTCTTGCCCTGGCCGCCGTCTGCCTCCAGCGTCCCCGGCCGGGGCTCAAAGGGCGCACGGGGCTCCGACGTCTTAGCCATGATGCGCTCGATGGAGAAGGCCAGCGTCTTGGAAGTGGCCGGCGACGCTCCAGCGCGCGGGCAGGCCGGGGGCACCATGGTCTCCAGGGAAGCCGAGCTGGCCATGGCGCGCCGAGCCGAGCTTTGCGGTGCCGGACTGGGCCGGGGCGCAGCCTCTCTCCTCTAAGTCTGCATTCCGGAAAAGGCAGGGAGGGAAACCGCAATTTAATAAGCACCTTGTCGGGTCCAGGTCACCCATTTGCATTCAAATGAACAGGGGCAGAACAAAGTGCACCCAAGGGTACCAAATTACCTCCCATTAACCCGGCGCGCAAAGGAACCCACCAGCCCCTGCCCTGAGACTTTGAAAGGGGGAAGACGGGGGAGGGTTTACAAAGGAAAAGGAGAGAGAGGAAAAAAAGAAAGAAAGAAAAGAGCCTCAAATTAACCCCCCCTGAGCCGTTCCCTGGACCCTGGCCTCCGCCACGCGTGCGGGGAGCTGGACAGTGAAGGGGCAAAGTTAGAAGGCCAGGAGAGCCCCCTCGCATTTACCTCTTTCCCCCACCGCCAAGGAGATGCGTTCCGAGCCATGCAGCGTGTCTCCTCTGTCACATTTTGATGGCAAACATCTTCCCCTCCGCGTGAGATCACTGTCTTTTACATTCAGCTGACATCACATGAAGTCACTTGAAGTGGAATGACATGGGCGGCGGCGCGGCTCCCGTAGCGGCCCCTGTGTTCCCCCGCGCCTGCCGGCCGCCGCCGCCACCGCCCCTCAAACTTTAAAAGGAGGCAACTGGCGCCCGAGCTCCCCTCGGGAAAGTGCGAGCGGTTCGCGAATCGGGAAGGAGGGAAGAGACGGGAGGGGGAGGGGGAGGAATCGTGATGGTTTTCCCGGTGGAAAGAAGGTGGGGGGAGCCCAAACCCAGGCAGAGTTCTGTGCGTGATTCACAACTTTGGGGGCCTATAGGTTTGAGGGACGCGGGGAGGGCAGAGGGTCCCGCACGCGCCGCCCCAAAGGGCCCCTGGGTGTCCGTCTAGTCGCTGAACTATCCCTTAGCCCTCTGCAGCCGAGCTGGGCATGGTGCTAATAAACTGCCATTTACCCACGGAGCCGGCGCCAGCCCCGAACACGCGCAAATGATAATTACCTCATTAGGATGTGGCGCATGGACGCGGGCGCCGCATTTGGAGGGGGGGAACTTGTTAATGGGGAAATATTAATTTATGCAAAAACAACGAGCTCGCCTTGGCTGGCGTCGGAGGTCGGGAGGGAGCTCCCGCCGCCTAAGGACGACCCTGAAGCGCCCGGAAGAGCCAGGCCGCGCGCCCAGATCCCGGGGGCCTCGGCGCCCGGCGGGGGCGCCTCTCCCCCTCTGGCCGACTCCTCGCCTGCGGCTGGGGGAGAGACTGCACAGCAGGCTGGAGGACTGCTTGAGAACCTAATCGATCAGAATCGCTGATTTGTGATCGGGTTTCTGAGGCAAAGCCCGCCTCTGCTGCTGGTTTAGGGCTCCGTGCGGGGAGGATTCGGAGGGCAGCTCTCCCTGCTGATGGGTACTTACTGTTTGTATAATTGAGAAGGTCCAATCTCCACCTGTTTAAGGAGCAGATTGAAACAGCAGAACCTCCCCTGGATCCTATTAAAACGTTTTTCCTCCTAAGGCCATTCAGTCGAACCAATTTTCCGAAGTGATTCATAGAGCTGAATTCTGCCAAGGCAGCTCTTTCACTTTTAGCCACTAAAGCACCGCGTGGAACCGGGTTTTGTGTTTTTCTAAAATAAAGAGAAGGATTATCAGAGGGGAGAGGGAGGGGGCTTGAAGGGGGGCGGGCAGAGACTTAGTGTGGCCAGAGGTACAAGCAGAGGGAAGAAAAGGCCCTTTTCTAGACAGGCCCCAAGTAAGTTCGGAGGAATTCAGCGTTTTGTGCCTGGCGCACAAAAGCGGCGCGCTCCACGCTCGGTTTGGAGGGGCTGAATTCATCTGTTTGCAGACCATTCCACCTGCGTATCACAACAAACTGCTCAAAGACGCTCCAGCACTTTCAACAGGCCGGGTGCTCTTGGCGACAACAAAAGTGGTCGAGGCTGAGGGTTTTTATGGGGGAGGGGCGCGGCTAGCAAGAGAGCGAGCGAGAGAATTAGGTTTAGGGAGGAGGAGGGGGGGTGCAGGGGTTTTTAAAAACTTTGGGACGGTTTTGTTTGCGGGACAATTATATCTTGCCAGCCGGCTTTTGCAAGACCACGAGCTTTGTAGCCGCAACCACAGTTTAAGAGGATTACGGTGGGTATAATATGAGCAAACAGGGTTGAGGGTTTGATAGTGAATTTCATCTCCAAAGATACATGAGCTTGTGGAGCCCAAAAAATGCTACTGAAAGCAAACCCTTTCCTTTTTCGCTCAGCAACAGGGCTTGAGAAACTGAGTCTCCTGCCTGAGGCCTCTCAGCTGCAAAGCATCCCAGAAAACCATCCGGGAAAAAATGGGGAAAGGTCTAGTTCTAATTGTAGGCAAAGCATTCCTTTTCCCCTTCAGAACTTCCCTCTCCTCCCCACTGCCCCTCTGACGTGCAATTTCAGACCGGATATTGACCTGGCAGGTAAGGGAACAGAAAAGTGCACTTGGAAAGCAAGGGGAGGGAACAAAGAGATGTCTGAGGGAAAGTGGCCTGGAGGGTGACATCAGTGGGTGGATTTTTCTCACCCTGTCACGCTGGGGAACTGCTTCCACTTCCCCTAAATTCAGCAGGCAGGAGTCTATTCCCCAGGGAACCCTTCTCCCCAAACTTCCAGATTTCCAAGCTAGGAAAAACCTTGCTCGCCTGAAAAATATTTCCATACACAACCCATTGAATTTAGATGTTCAAAGAGGTGGGATTCCAGACCCACCCTCCCCCCATCCCTGTGCTAATGTGCAAGCAACACAAATGAACCCCCACCCCCCAAAACAGGAAACAAACCAACAACTCACCCCGACATTGAAACAGTATCAATACACCCGCAGGGGCTCAACACCCGAAATTTCAATACCGACTTTGCTCCGTGTCTCCTTCAGTCACCGGCACCGCACCCCGACCCCCTTTCCAAATTGGGTAATTGTTGATCTCGGCAGCACGAAAGATCTGCTGGTTTGAAAGCTCCATTCCAAAGGCTTTGCCGTGAACCGGCCTTGCTATCCCTAGCACTTTTTGTAACTGCACAAGCCATCTCGCTCTCCCCGGCATCACAAAGGAGTGCTACCTCCACAGAAAGAAAACATTTGGGTAAAAACAAGTTGCCCCTAATGTGCCTCTCTTTCCAAATGTTGGGTGAATACACTGGCTTTTAGAAAAGTATTTAATTAGCTTCCACAAACTTCTCCTTCCCTCGCCCGCAGATTATATTGAAGTGGAGGGTTGCAGACTATTTTACACCTTGCCACTCACATGTTAATTAATCTCTATCTAACCCTAATTGCAGTTTATTCAAGCACCGCTCAACAGCTCACCCACACAATAAACACTGATCCTACTTTTATACATATTACTTCACGTTAACACATTGAGTAATTAACTCCAGTACCAACTAATAGTGCAAACAAATATTTTCTGTAAACGAGATGATTTCAGGCAGAATAAAAGAGGACTAGGGAAGCATGGCACTTGGTGGAGGGAGGGCTGAGATTTCCATTCGCTGCCCCCCAACACTTCAAATTCATTCTCATTTGCAGTGATTTTTTTTTTTGAGGCTGAAATGTTTAAAAACACACACACACACAAAGAAGGACAACCACAGGAATTAAAATTTGACAGTTTTATGAAGTTGATGGCGGAGTTCGGAGAGACTAAGGGTAACTTTTTTCTACCTCCACGTTTTCCGTGAGAGGGGGGGAATCCAAAATAACTCCGCATGAAGGGCAACAGGAGGCTCCGGGGAGAAGCAGATGTTTCGGGGATGTGAATCCATCTATGGAAAATAAAGTTTTACAAAGCTCCCTGCTCTCAAGAAGTCTTGTCCTTTAAAGCAAGGGTAGAAGCGGGCCAAGTTTGTAGTGACGGATATAGGAGAAATCCTCTCTCTCTCTCTCCCCCCCAATCCAGACGGGTACAAAAGCTCCCCTCTGGGGGTGCAGGTGCCTTGGGTCAGCAACTTGACCAAGCAAGCCACCTTACGGGGAGGCACGCGGTCTTGGCCAAGCGAGGCTCAGTAGGCCTCGCGCGCGCTCCGCCCCAGAAGCCCTCTTCCGAGGCTTCGCTCTCCTCGGGGGCGCAGGCCCAGGGCGCCCGCCCTCACTGGACGGCACGGACGGCAACCCATCGCCCTTGGTCTGCCAGGCCTGGACCCACCGCGGGGGGCTTCCTCCGCCCCGAGGACTCAGCCCCGGCCCATCTTCCTCGGGCGCCGCAGCCCAAAGCCAGACGCTTTTTGCCTCGGCCCATCTGGCCCGCGCTTGGTCCTCGACACCTCGGCCGTGGTGGGGAAACCCTGCCAGAATGAAGCCCGACGCCCCTCCGCGGCCTGTGCCCTTCCCACGCTGCAGAGCAGGGTGCCAAGGCCGGGCGCTGCTTCGGCTCCGCCGGGCCTGACCCACGGCGCGACCCCGGGGATCAGCGGCCGTGGGGCGCCGCACCCGTGCCAAGCCACTCGCACACCACTGATGGGGGATCCAGGCTCAACCCCAAGGACCGGAGCGCAATGTTTTAATTGAAATCGCAGGTTTAAGCACAGCTGGCGGCTGTCTATTGATTTTGCAAGGGTTTCTCTTGTGGGAAGCATATTAAATATGACTGGCGCTGCTAGAGCCTCTCCTCTCGTGCCCCCTCCCTCTGGCCTTTTTATGGTCACTAACCCGAACACTGTAATGATGACTTTTGTCTAAATTATTTTTGTTGTTGTTGTCGTTGAATGCCAGAAATCGCCTTCGCTTTAGGGCAGATTACTTAGCAGACGCCTGCCCGGCGTGTAGACAACCTCAGAGGAAAATCCCTTCCTTGAGCAAAAGCTCATAGTTTGCACGACTTCTGGCATCGCCGAAGGGAAAGGCAAACGTTTCTACTACAAAAAAGGTGTTATAGTTCCAGCCCAGGTGGCTTGTCTCTGTCGGTTCTAGATGAGGAAAGACACTATTATTTTCAATATTATTACTATTTTGTCTCATGAGTATTAGGTTGCAACACTTAATACTTCGTCTTGCCCTCTCCCCAGGGAGCTGAGCTGCTCGGGGGTGGAAGGCGAGCTGAGGCTGCTGGGTTTGGGGAAACACCCACCGGGCAGGTGTGAGGTTTGCCCCTCGCTCCTCCGCTCCTGCCTAAGTTGTTTGGAAAACAATACAAAACCCCCCAACCAAACTTAAGGCCTTAAGGCGTCTCCTTCCTTTCCTTCTTTGCTTCTTTCTAAAGGGATACTTAGGATCTGATTTACACGGTGCCACGTTTAACCGCTGAAAATAGATGAACTTCTGAAGCGAAATTTTTCTGCGAGCCTCTTCTTCCCCCTCCCTCCAGGAAGCATTTTATTGAAAACACTCGGAATGGCTTGCCAGAAGCGGGCTTGCCCAAGGCTCAGGGGCCTCCGCCTTCGGTGCGCGCGGTTTGCAGATTAGTGCGGCCGGAAGACAAAGAGCCCCAGATACCCGGCCGGGCGAGGCCGGGCGCGCACGGAGAGCTCGGGCTCCGGATACCCGCACGCAGCGCTCGAGCACAGCGTCGGGCCCGGGCCTCCAGGCACAGATGGGCCAGACCGTCTGCATCTGCCGGCGTCCTCGGGGAGGCTGCGGCGCCC